TTTTTTTTTTTTTTTTTTTGAGATCTGAGGGAGAAAGGAAGAATTACCAGTTCGTATACGAAGACGACTGGTGAAAATGTTCGTGCGGTGGATAGGGAGAGTAGTGGTGAAAGTGGGGAGTTTATATAAATAAATATAAATTGAGGTTGGTCGAGAAAATAGGGATATTCTTTTTAACTTTTATTTCAACGGTTGAGATTTCTTCTGATTTAAATTTTTCAACGGCTGGATGCTGACCGTTGGCCCTCCAGTTATTATTTCACTCTTTTGCGGCTTTTTCCTTTTTTAAAAAAAAATAGAGAATTGAAATTCAAAATTTGATGGTGGAGGGAAACCCGTTCTTGCGATCCGGTGCGGAATATTTGACGGGTCATAGTGTAGGTTGTATGAGCTTATACTTTTTCTTTTTATTTTTTGGAGGAGGTAAAGACTTATATTCGTGTAAACATGTTATGAATAGACGTAAAATAGATATTGAAGTACAAATTTTTTTTTTTTTCCCTACCAATGGATTGAAAAACACATATTTGCACATTTGTACATGTATTAATATTAATAAAAATATTAACATTAAAACTCTGTCTTACCTGATCGTTCCTGTGGTCCTTCTATTTCCAGGGTTGATGAGCGGAGACGAGTTTATCAGCACCAATACTGTAACACCCCACTTTTATTTACCGAAAATCAGAATAAATTTTTTGAATTTATTTCAAAAACAATATTCGGGCGCTACTCATTTTCAAATCAATAATCAATACTTGACATTTTCTCAATACTCGGCAATTATCGATACTCATAATCAATAAGAAAATCTCAATAATCAATCAATAATCCAATAATGATCCTAGGGAAATAATCCCTATCAATAATCTAATACTAGAAAAACAATAGTCAATAATAATGCAATAAGATCCAAATTCAATTCAAAGCGGAAGCATTTATTCAAATTAAAGACCACCACTCGCATCCCCTCCGTCGTGCCACTCTATCTAACCTGCATCCATGAAGAGCAGGTGGGGATGAGCACAATAGGAAACAGTAGTGCTCACCGCTATGCCATAAATATTAATGTCAACAATCAACAGTAATCAATAATCAAAAGGTATGGTCTCAACATGTATACGAAACAATAATCTATCTCATTTTCCCATCAATAATACAATAATCAGACTCATGTGCACACCTACGCATAGACTACTGCTGACTATATATCGAATGCCCTCCGGTCCTACATCGAGTGCCAGCCAGTAGGAGTAAACCACCCCACCGGCCAAGGTCTTGCCTTGGACTTACCAATGAGGATCACCGGCCGAGGGACCTAAGCCCTGGTCTTACGGCTTCTCAAGGGAGACTACCCGAAGGTACGTTCTATAGCTACGGGGACAACCGTTCGGTGGCCGATGCAGCTCACACCGAAGGCTACATGATTCACATGCATACTTTGATCATACCACAAATAAGGATGGCAGCGGTTCGGTTTCGGTTTGGATATCCGCGGTTTTTGGTTCTGCGGTTTTCGGTTTTGGTTCTCAAATTTCACCCACGGTTTTGCGGTTTCGGGTACCCGAAAGTCTTCGATTTTGGTGTGGATCCTATATTTCGCCCGTGGTGCTCCGTTGGGTGCCCAAAATAGACGGCCCATCAAAAAGCCCACCAAAAACCCTAGCTATATAAGTGAAAATTTCCTCTGCGCTTAGGCAGTACTTTTGGACAGTGTGTGGCTCAAGTGAAGATGAATGCCTCAAGTGTCTAGTGGTGTTTTTTTTAAATAATTCTGGACAGTATGTGTGTATGTGTGTGTGCCTGAAGGCCTTGAACTTCTATTTCTATGTTTCTGGAGTCTGGACATGGGCTGGGCACATGGCTTGGCTTAGCTATGTACTCTACTACCTTTATGGCTTGTACTGTACGTTGGTACTTGCTAAGTTGTGACTGGTTGCCTGGTACTCTCTAAGTTATCATGTTTTATGTTGTTGTCTTTGGTGTTTTATTATAATATTTTTGGTTTTTTGGGTATCCGTTTGGTTTTTGGGTATCCGCGTGTTTTGGTTTTGGTGAAGGATTTTCACCCGAAACAGTTTTGGTTTTGGTTTTGGTTTTTAAGTTTGGGTTTTGGTTTTGGGTGCCCTGAGGTTCCATCCGATCCGAACCCGAACCGCTGCCATCCTTAACCACAAATAAAACAGTAATTAACATTTAAGGCATAGAAATTTTTACAATTACAACCCACCTGGAAATTTCGGTAGAAAATGGCATACAAAAGCAAGCACGTAGGATGAGGCTCGACTCCTCAAACACCTACATTTAAGCGAGATAATTTATCAATAATTTATCTCACTACTCGAATTTAACGTAAAACCCATACTTAATGAAAATTAAGATTTACGGGTTTTAATCGGATTTTTCGTGGACTTGGAACTCTCTCATTTTTGAAAAATATGACCCGGAGAAGTAAATTGAGGTCTCGGAACTTAAAATAATTTTCCCAAAATTTTTCTCATTTTAAAATATTTTTAAAATTTAAATTGGTATTAAAAACGGGCTCCGGAACACAAAATTTGGCTAAAAACCGAATTGGGCCCAAGCTGCCAAGCATTAGACAAGACTGCCCTTGGGCCGCACACATGCAAATTGGGCCGAAAAAGACCTCCAAATTGGGCTGAAAATTTGGTCCTAAAAAGGCTGGGAAACGCGGGCTGGGATTGGGCCACTCGCGGGCCAGAAAGTGTGGGGAAAACGGGCCGCACGGGCTGGCTTCGGGCCATGCGGCCCGCGCGCCAAATTAAAGCTAAAATGGGCGAAAAAATGTAATGTTGCTGGGAGGGAGATCGAACCCGCGACCACGTGCGAGGAGTAGTAGGCAGACACCAATGGGCTACACGAGCTGTTGCGACTAACTTGCAACTTATAAATTGAAGTTTAGAAAAAGAAAACTGCTACTGAACAGAAACAAAAGCTGTGAAATTTGCAAGGCCAACAAGCAATTTGGACAGAACTTCAGCTACAGGTTTCAACAGCTAAATTTCACAAAATTTTTACCCAACATAAAGACCCTTCCAGAGTTCGAAAACCTTTCAAAAACGGGGTTTGTTCGGAATAGGAAACGACACCTAACGGTTCGAAAACAACGAACAAGACAATCCTTAACTAAATTACAACGAGACTCCGAAACGACAAAACGGGACTCCGAAATAACACGATATAGTCACAGCAACGTAACAAAATTTTCTTTAACGAAATCGAGAGTTCCGTTCATTACCGAACATCCACGAATCATACGAAATATATATAACAATTATACGAATCAACAATTAAGCCGAAATCAAAACCCATATGAAGCGATTCAACGAGCAAATAATTCTATGAACAGTAAAACAAAAAGGTTCGAAAAGATTACCCGTCTTCGGGAATCTACGAGTTAAAAAGAAAACGGTCGGAGCGAAACGGGGCCAAACGGACGAACAGGGCTCGGGAATTGGAAGCTGCTGCTCGCGGACGACTCTACCCACAACGGTAGCCTGCTGTGACGAAGGTTGACGGCGGTTGTTCACGCGAACAGAGACACGCGACGGTGACGGTGGAGCTGCGCGGAGGTGGTCTCGCCGGAGTCAATGGAGGATGGCTGGTTGCATGTCCTTACTCCGCCGGATGAATTCAACCTCGGCTATGGAACACACTGGCGACTGATTGCTCGAACAGGGAGGGTGAATTCACCTGAATCAATGGTGAAGTGCGATTTGCTGTAACAGGTCCGATGGTTATTGAGGGAGATGAGAGATTTGGGGGTACTGCACGGTTTAAGTAGAAGAGAGGGATAAGGAACGATCAAATTGAAAGGGGAACGTGCACGGAGATTCACCAACAATATCGCAACCGAAAAAATTTGAACGGGGAGGAGGAGGACCTGTTCTTGCGGAGCAGATAGTGTAACAGATAATGTTGCTTGATCTCGCGTGAAAGAGGAGAAGTATAATTGGGTCATAATATAAATCTTGGGCCAAAATAATGTATCATAGTTTGGGCCTCAATTATATATCAATTGAGCTGAAAATTGAATACTCATAGGGCTAGAAAATTTACAAGATTGGGCTTATTTAATAACTCAAAAAGGTTGGAATGAAGATAATGCGATTACAAGAATTTCCGAGCGATGCGATTGACGACGAGCAATAAATTAATCTGAATTATCTATATTTATATCCCATACAATATTTTAAAATAATAATAATAATAATGGTAGTAAAAATATGCATTTAGACAAATAATTACAATTTGACAATTAATAATATTTAGACAATTAATATTAATAATAACAATATTACTAATAACATATAAATAATAGCAATTTGATAGTTAATAGAGATAATAATAATAATAATAAAGACAATTTAATAATAGCAATTATCAATACTTACTATCCAATAATCCAAAATGAAACGGGGTATTACAGTCTATCCACCTTACAAATAATTCCGTCCTCGGAATTCGAAAATAAACTAGAAAGCGATAAAATGCAAAGGGGACTCAAAACTCGAAGTTCGGATATCGCCTCGAAGCTCGGCCTCCTTTTCCCAAGTCGCCTCCTTCTCGTCATGTCGGCTCCAAAGCACCTTTACCAAGCTCACTGCCCGGTTCCTCAACTGATGGACCTTCTGGTCCAAAATAGCTACCGGTACCTCCTCGTAGGTAAGGTCTCGCTCGACCTGCAGTTCGCCGAAGTCCACCACGTGACCGGGATCATGCACGTATCTCTGCAACATCGAGACGTGAAACACGTCGTGCACGCCCGACAAGCTAGGTGGTAAAGCCAGCCGATAAGCCAAGTTCCCGACTCGGGCAAGGATCTCGAATGGCCCAATATAACGCGGCTTAAGCTTCTCCCTCTTCCCGAAGCGAATCACACCCTTCATGGGCGAGACCTTTAGGAAGAC